TTTTTTTTTTTTTTTTTTTGGGGGGGGGGGGTGTGGGTATCTTGAGTTATCTTCTCTCGAGCAATGGAAAATTCTCTAAACATTGTTAAATTTCATAACCTGACGATGTATTAAAGCTAAAGGATTAGAAGTACCTGATAGATTCCAAGAATCTTTGCTAGGCATGTAGGACTTCTCGTACCAATTGATTCAGACAAATACTTGAAATATTCAGGTGCAAATTTAATGAATGACTCCAGCTCTGTCTTGGTGACTTGCTTAATTATAAACCGATCGTCCAGAGTTTTGGCAAAGAAAACATTACTCTTACCACCTTGGGCTCCCCACTTCTTACAACGACTAAGGGACTTTACAAAATCAAGTTCTGAACAACAAATCCTCCTCAAAGCTTCAAATCGTCTTGCATAGTAACAGGTAACAGAATATTTTACTCCACCGTGCGGGCCATATTCTTCGAAAACAATTCTGGGATTAAGGGATTTTGGGTATAAGAGTGGATCCAAACTAATAGAGGTACGAGGTCCTGAGATGGATGAAACACTGTCGTCTAAAGGTCCCACACTTTTTGAAGTATCAAAGGAGAAGTCATCAGAGGACTGCAAAAATGATTCTGTGTACGAAAAGGAAGGCAACGAATCACCACAATCTCTCAGTTTTTCTGCCTCGTCAATCAGCTGGGAATGATATTCTGGTGACATTAGAGCGTAAGCTATGATACTTGAAGGTTCATCATCATAGACCGGAACAACAGTTTCATTTACACCAAGAGGCAAGAACAGCCTAGCTCCACCTTGAAACTCTAGCTCCCAGAATGAGGATAGAAAGACAGGATTGTGTTTTGCTAGTACTTCAAGTTTCTGGCCACTAGCTAGGAAGTTTTCATTAAATAAATAATAAAAGTTTGAGGAAGCCGTCTCTAACTGGCCTGCAAAGTTTTCGGTATCATCAAGTGCCTTTGAAGGAAGCGATTGAGAAACAGCATGGGTAACCCTGTCAACATTCTGATCTTCAGAACGATCATTCCATACAGTAATATCGATCCCTGATGAATCTGTCACAGTTGAATTGCATAAAGTATGGGGATTATCGTTTGTTATTCCAACTACAGAACCATTTTCACCTGTCCATGCAGCCTCAAGTGTATCTGATAGACTTACCATCCTAGAAAACTGCTGTGTCTTTGATTCTAGGGTTTCAGATGGATCATTAATGCTTTCTTCTCCTTTGTCTGAATCTGAATCTCCAACTTCTTCGATTTGAATGTCAGGTTGCGCCATGCTGGTAACGACCTCCTTTACACTACTTGATCCTTCATTACACTGTTGATAGGCAAGACGAGAGTCAGAAGATTTAAGGTCTTCAACAAATTTGCTGTTGGTGCTAATTTCAGAGAGATTCTCGCTATCAACCACAAGTCTCTCTTCGGATTCTGCAATAAAGCTGCCAGCAGAGTTCCCTTTATCTAAACTGGCTGCATGGATCAACTGCTGGTCCCATACATAAGCTTGAATGAGTAACTTCCTACGCAGATAGTTGATCTCAAGAATGTCTACAGTACCCTGGCTCTGTTTTCCTTTCTCATTCGTAGTCTTATGGAGTGATTCCTTGACCACAAACAATAAAACCAACAAAATTAGCAAGAACTTAGATAACTTTGAAATGAACTTTAAACGTAATAAAATAAGTTTTCTTTATATTTTTATATATAAGAAACAATTGTGGTTTTGGAGACCAGCAAAGTTCTTCATGAATACATCAGTTTCGTATCACTGAGATGAATTCATGTATATATATTAACTTCACAATAAAAAAGTCAACAAGAAGATACTTATAAGGTTTGTTTCTTGTTTCAAAAAAAAAAAAAATAATCAGGGGATACATCAAATAATTTTAGGCATACACACAGTAAAATGGCGTAAGAAGAGTTCAACAACTTTGATCCATCCTCATTCCTTAACGATACAAGCAGATAACACAAATGAGCCATCTAAATGGTCAAAAAGGCATATGCACCATACAGCAAAGCAGTATAATACGAGTTCAACCACTATGAAACATCCTATACAAGATTACTAAATAGATCGGGGAGTAGAAAGAAAAAAAAATGTTGACTAAGTACAAAAAAACGAGCCCTGAAACTTAAGAGATTCAAACTGAAAATTACAGTGTAAACAAAATGCATTTCCATAGATGTTTAGGAAGGATGGTTAGATGTCAAAGGGCAGTCTAACTTTAAAATTCACCATTTTAGGAGGCTCACCTCAAATTTGGCCTTCTCTTTTTGCAACAATGCCTCCAACCCAGCAATCTGGCGCCTCAGTTCCATTTTTCTCATGCTATTAATTGTCCCTGCACTAGATATTTTTTCTGCAATTTGACCAAGAGTATTCAACACTTCGGAAAACAAAAGCTCAGCCTGGTTCACCACCTGCTATAATCAGATAACTAAATCATCCATGTGCAGTAAAATTATGTCAATAAACATCTCAAATCTAAAAGTTATTGCACCTCATCCTTTTCTTTTTGTATCCATTCCTGATTCTCATAGTTGAAATCCAGTTTTGATGGTGGAAGGTATACAGAATGCACATCAGTTGAAGCATAGCGAAAACAAGCAATCATTCTCCCATATCTGCACAAGTAAAGCAATGAAAGACGATATTGTCAACTTTGGCTACTCTGATATCATCCATAGGTTGAAAAAGAAGATGCGCTAGTAAAATGAGAGACGGGTATGTTTTTCAGTTTGGCTAGCTTGATATCCCATATAGGTTGGAGGAAAAAAAAAAAAAAAAGGAATGAGAACTCCTCACACAAAAAAGCAATATGTAGCAGCAATTAAGTTGAGACCTCAGCTTCCAGAAGATGCAATTATCTTACATAACTTATCAAATTGAGGTTAAAAGAGTGGAGTAGCTGACTTCCTCCAGCCAGTCAAGTAAAAATTTTGAGTATAGCTTTTGAATTTTTTAAGATCCTGTACGGCTTACAGCCTCAAATTGGATTTGAATTGGAGGCCTTTTATTTGTTCCTCTCTCGAGGCATGGGAACACCTTGTCCCATATCCATTAGGCCGTTTTGTTTGTCCTCTTTTAATGAATATCTTTCTGTTTCCACTATTAAAAAAATCATTGCATTCCAGTGATATGTGGACCCTATGTATAAATAATAATTTTCTGAATCAAGTATAAAAAATAAGCACACAAGAAAACGGAAACCAATATATAAATTTACACCAATTATAAAGAATGGCCTACATAAAACTATTTATGGACTTAATTACAGAAATAACAAATTGACTTCAAGTAATACGAGAACGATCAGTTTCATTTCAGTTCTATGCTTTGATATGTCTAATGAAGACTCTGGTTTCTCTCTTTTCATGGAGGAGGCATGCATGAAATTGAGAGGCAAATTACTACAATTATGTATTGCCAGGTGTCTATTATATATGAATATTGACTGATTTTGTAAATTTTTTAAATTCAAATACTTTCTAGAAGCCAAATACTTACCCATAAAAACGAAGGCAATCTCTATGTAAGGAGTGGCCACAGCTTGCTACCCTGCTAGCAGCAATGTGGTTTGAAAAACTGAGCTCTAAGAACTTCCCAAATGAGAGTCCCCATGCAGCATCTGACATCACTACTCTTCGTGTAGCTGGGGGGAAGCCATTGTTTCGTGGGCATCGCAGGCATCTATGCCACATCCAAATCTTCCCTTCCCTTTCACCTGGCAAGAGAATTTCTGGTAACTTTTTAACAGATATTGTGAGGGTGCCCTGTCTATGAGTGTAACAGTGAACATGTGCTTCTGCAGGCATGTCGCAAGAATCGCATCGGTAAGCCTGAAATGGTACAAGGACTTATCGTTTTCATTAAGTATTTCCAAGTTTTCAACAGAGAGAAATCTGATGTACATAAAAATAAGACAGCTCACCTGATTAAATAATTTGTCCCTTAAGAATCGGCCTAAAGGTTTATCAAAAGTCCCGTAGTATTTGATTCTAAAGAGATGTGACCTCTCACAGACACTTCCTTTCGATATGCACCTTGATGATAATGAGACCAAAATACTTTGATGGGCAGAAGATGCTGTAGGGAAGTCATCTTTCCCTGCTCCCAGTTCCTCTTTAGAAGTTCCATGATCTTGATGATTTTGATTATTCTGTTGCGCAATTAATGGCTCTGAGCCCATTGGCAGGCCAGATGCCACTGAGTTAGCGTCTTCAGTATCAATAGAAAACTTGTCATTCCCCAATAACTCAACAGATCCTAGTCCTTGATGTTTTTGATAACCATTATCAGAAGATTCTTCCATTTCTCCCCGGGTACCCAATGCATTTCTCTCCATAATATGATATGGAGAAGGCTCATCACCATAAGACTCTGAACCAATTGTCCACGACATGGGATCAGAAGAGAAAATTGCTGTTGAATTTGCTATGGATGAACTTGGTTGTGAGAGTTGAGAACTAGGGCCATTTTCTACAAAAGGTACAGTGCTATTGCCTGATAAGATTAGACCTAAGGTAGGTAAGCTCATGGATCTTTCTGGCTCATCAATAGATAAGCTAGGTTGCTGCCCCTGACTGGCAGGGAGACTGAAATCAGGCACCATTGATATGGATCTCTCAGCAACAGATGATTTCACAGGAATTGCAACAGTAATTGGGGAGTTCAAGGGAAGCTCTGGTAGAGAGGCTCCTTCATCAGCAAGAAAAGATGTTTCCAAGGCCAAATGATAAGCAGCAAAAACTCCATACTGAACGACTCGCTTTGCCTTCTTCAACTCATCCTTGTCAGCACCTCTAAGTAAAATCTAAAAGAAATAGACATGCAAAAGTTATTACTACTTAAGCCATTGGTCTGTAATTACACATATATTCTCCAAGTAAAGCACAACAACCAACGACCACAAGTAGCTCATTCCCTGGACCACTAAAAAAAATGAAACAATCATAGATCTGAATACCATCAAGACATAACCTCATCAGTCCTACCCAAAAGAAAAGTGTGCAAGGAAAGTAATTTTGAAATCTCCAATCTGTTTTTCCAGCGGATAAGCCTAAGGATGGAAATCAACAGGTGAGCTATATTCATGCAGAATTGAAGTTCTGCCATTCCCAAGTTTTTTTCCCACCCTCTTATTTCTAGAAATTCTTGATGCGTTACTTTTTGTGCCCACAAAGACTCACGTGCTTTTACACATATGCATAAATTTGGCGATAGATATATCAAGAACTTACAGTACAACCCAATGGCTTTGGGCAGCCTTCAAAAAACATCAATGTCTTCACCGATCTTTTCCCTCTCTGTCCAGAAGAGGTCAGATCTTCCGTGAACCTTTCTACATGAAATAACTCACAGTATCCCAGCTTTGGCGATGACAATTGATCAATTGAAGGAACTATCTGTGCACCTGTACAACGAGCTATACGCTCCAAAAGGGGTCTTTTGATATTAAGAACAAGCGATATATCTTTTGCGAGTAGGTACTCTTGTGCATATCTTGATACCGATTTTTCAACTAAAAGAACATCAGGGTGGTGTGCATCAATTTTTGCAACTGCCATCTTCAAATGGTCAATCTCCTATAAAGGTTTGAATTAAATTAGCCAAGACATGGGGAAAAAATAAACAAATGGATGCATGTGTAGTACAGATTATATACAAGCACTGGCAATTTATAATTAATAATTGTAGATTGAAACTAAAAGGTTACAACCTGCTGCAAAAGTGTATCGAAACTTGATAAGTGATTGGTAACCCGTTGGTATTCAAGTGCACCTCCAAGAATCAGCAAGCGAGACTTTTCTATCCTTGAGATCATTCTCCGATGGGCCACATTCTTCTTACAAACCACCCCTTTTACCACCATACTAAAAGAAAAGTTATTGAACTACTTGTCAGAAGGTTTGAAGAGCTAGAAAAGTATATGTAACTATAGAATAAAGATGAATGAGTTATTGTGACTAGGGACGGAAATAGTAGCATTCAACATTAAGTATGGATCACATCAAACTATATATATATTAAGAAAATGCTTAAAAATAAAGCACTAGCCCTTGCAATATTGGAAAGAAAGAAGAAGTTTAAAGTAATTGGCTATATTATTCAAATCTCCCAGAACTTTAATGTTAGTTCAATTATACCCTAACCACTTAAGAAGTTCTATTTCTACCTTGACATTCAAAGTCGATTCAAGTATATCCTCGAACAGTTTTACTGTTAAAAAAAGTTACAGAAATTAACATGGTGCTGCATGGTAAATAAAGTAGTGGCAGACGTGGCCTTTAAAAATGAACGACAAATATGACAAGTACTAATAACTAGGCAATAACTTTTCAAAAGACGTATGCCATTCATTTTTTAACCTACCTCTACATCAGTGATGCACAGTGATTACTGATACTAGCCACATTTGCCATTCATTTTCTAAAAGCCACGTATTTCCCTATTCTATTACAACTCAGCAACCACGTTAATTTTTATCACTTATTTTGAAAGAAAAATTGTTCATTAGCATATTTGAATCAATTTTAAATGCCACAGGTAAAAGTGAAATTTCTTATATAATAGAAATAAAATTGAAGCTAACCTCAAAGTTTAAGGGCATTTCAATAATTTAGCCAAAAAAAATTTAACAACATTAGGATGTAAATATACATGGGAAAAAAAATTGCAGCCATAAGTAAGGGACAACTTACTACTTCAGTATTCAGAAATAAATTTTGAAGTTGATAATTTAGAACAAAATTTATGAGGAAAAATAATGGCAGTTACGGTTAAGAACTTGAAAACTGAGTATAGAGAACTCATTTTTCCTGTCTGTTTAAGGGAAACATAATCTATATTTAGAAAGATGCAGAATCATGATGCCACAAAAAGTATAGATTCATCAGTGGAAAAAAGCGGTCAAGATACAAACAATTGTGTAAGCATGACAACGTCACAACATAAAACAAGACAATAGTTTTTGTTACAAAAACGCATACACACAGAGTAAGTGAAACAAGACAGTTTTCTGACAGATCAAAAGCTATATATGCACCATAATAGTTACCTATTGCAGCGAAGTCCTGAAGCAATACATTTGACTTTCACATAACCACCTGGGTCCATCTCACCACATCTACTCATATCTGGCTTTAGTAGTGTGGCAGCCTCCCACGAGAGGGAAGTAATTATCTCCAACCAACTCTCTTTATCACTGATCTCACCCAAAGGAAGGTTCTCAACCTGCAACAATTGAGCAACTAAAGCCCTAAAATGTCCATCGACAACATTCTTCATGACATTCTTGTGCTCCTCACTAGACCTATCCCTACTACGATATTCCCCACTCCCGAAGCTGCTAGAGGCTCGCAAATATCCCCATTCACCTGCATCATGTCCCTCATCATCATCATCAAAGAATGTTTCTCTCTCGTCTTCTTCGTCTTCAGGTTCAGGTGGGATCCAGAGAAGCTCATTATTCTCAAAATCAACAGGTTCAGACTGAACATCATCCGTAAAGTCCAAGGAGGAATGCCCTTGATCTTCCCCATAAATAAAATTTGTGTCTCCCTTTTGGTCAAGATCGGAAATTCCTTCCAGACCTTGCGAATAAAAACTTTCCTGCAAGGGAGAGCTACTTAAACTTCTGACGTTGTTGTTTTCTTCATCAAGCTGCTCATTATGTGGTCCATGCTCATTGCCAATCTCATCAAATTCAGCTTGACCAAAGTAACTTGAGACTTGAGGAGGAGAATGGCTTGCTTCAGTATCTGACTTGTATGTACCATCATAATCGTCCTTGCCAGCACTCCTGATAACAGAGAAACCACGAACCACATGAGTTAACTAACCACAAAAGATGTTTCACTCTACGCCGAACTAACTAAAATGACTACACAGGAAAAATCATATTGAAATTTCAAAATGAAATCCAGAACATTAACTACTCTTCAATCCTATAAGACTTGGAAATATGTGGCTCTTATTTTCTCAGATCTATGGCCAGTTGATCAATTTCAAGGATCTTCTACCATTAATCTCAACCTTGAGGTTGAATCAAAATATTGATTAGTAACAAAGAGCGGAGACCCTATAATAGAGGTGGTTGGAAATGATCAAGATATTAAAGGGAAAGAGGCCAATCAAGAACAAAACTAAATGCGAACATGAGAAACAAAACCTGTTCATGGAATAATTTTGTGGTATATCTCCTATGCTAGAAAGAATGTCAGTGCTCCTTCCCGAAGCCGATTCACCCAATTGATCTCTGCCTGCTAAGATAACAGATGAATATTGTGGGCTGAGACCAGAATGCTCTTGAGCTTGTTGGTTGGCCTCAAAGGAGTAAGGCACAGAAGCAAGAGTAATGCTACTCTCAGCAGTGCCACTAGATCTAGTACTGGACAAACTTGCCACTGATGTTGAACTGGAGATATCCTGGTTAAGCACCCTGATCTCATGATCTGGAGCAGCTATTCCTTGATTCCATTGCTTGAAGCAATAGTTACAAACACGAATTCTCTCCCTCTCCTCACGAGGGACCCTTGGGTCACCTGATGGAGCAACTATTGAGTTTGCTGTACACTTGGCACAGAAGACTCGACCACAAAGTCGGCAATGGTGTCTACGGTTGATAAGGGTAAATTGTGCGTCACAATCGTAGCATACTCGGCAGCTCTGATCGGGCATCCAAAAATCCCTCGATACATTAGCTGATTCAGATCGCCAAGGGATCCACGACTTCCAATTACCAAGTATATCATTCAATGTCTTGTCTGGAGAATCCATTGACCGCCCACGATTCCGTTCATTATGATATGCTCATTTGATACGACTACCTGACAAATTCAACCTGAAAAATGAAAATTCAATCACCCAAGGAACGAAATAGCTTCTGAACCGCCATCAAAGTAATTCAACCTTAACGCAAAGGAAGAACAAGCAAAAGGAAAAAACAGCGAAAAGGGAATTTCGTTGTTACAGAAATGAAATCCACTTCCGAATTCGCCTATTAGACCTAATTCCATGCTTCGCATCGTCATTAATCTTCCATCAATGAAAGATGAAGTAGTTTCGCCATTAAAGAACCAGACAGCAATCTCAGACATAAATTAACTCGAAAGTAATGAAAGCGTGAACTAAATACATCGAATAAGAACAGCAGCAAGATCAAGAATCTTCTAAGCTACCTTCAGTGAGTTCCAATCAAACTCCTCCGAACCGACCAAATTCAATTAGTTCCAGCCCCGATTACTCCCACCACCAGCACCTTCAGCAACAAACACATAATACAGACAACAAAAATCACAACACTACTGCATATTCAACAGGATATCTTCGTCCTCTCCAACTTCACCATCAAACACTTGAAAGTTCAACGAAATGCATAAGGTGTCCAATTCCGATTGGCCTCAACTTGAACTGAATTTGACCACCACCAAATCCTCCTGAGCGGAAAGGAAGAAGCCAGCTCAACTCAAAGTTGGGCTTTGGATAGAAAGAATCCGTGATTCACTACCAAAAAAAGTTCAGATAGTGTGAAAGAAAGGGTCGGTGAAGAGATTCAAGGCGAAGATGGCGTAAAGAGAGAGAGAGATTTCTCGCAGATTCCCTAAACCAATCAACACAGAATTCACCGATCATCTCCACCACAGAAATCAAAATTTTGCATTCATCTGGTCCATCCAGATCGATAAACACCTTCTGCAAATTCTTCCGCTAATCTTAAAATCTTCAGTTCTTGGCTAGTCAATCACATGCTTTTCTTCCTAATTTTGATTACTCTCTTGCAAAAATCTTTGACAGTGCCCGAAAATAAAACGAAAAAGATGGAAATTGCAATATCTGTTTTTTTTTTTTGCAATAACTGAATAAATATGTTTTTTTAATAATTATTTTTTAAAATTTAATTATTGTTCTTTTAAGCTTTAAATTATGCTTTATTTAATTAACGGGTTAAAAACGTCATTGAACACTTCGAACCTTCATATTAATAAATTAATAAATAATTTAAAAATGATATAACAAATCAAAATCAACTTTTCCTTCGAACTGTAACTCTCTAAAATGTTGTTTTTTATTTTTTAATTTAACTTACAATATAAATATTTGGTTATAAATATGAAAACTTTTTAAAAATTTTGTGATTATGAAAATATTTAATATCAAAAAATGCTTTTGTATTCTTCAATTGAATTAAAAAAATAAAAAATAAAATTTTTTAAAATATTATAAAAATTAGACAATAAAATAAATAAAATTTAAAAAAATAGGTACGGAAACTGGAAATAAAAAGAAATAAGAGATAATTAAATTGTAAGCTGTAATATGCAAATGCCCAAAAATAAATTTGCGGATGCCAGCTGTCTTCCACTATAAGCAAAATTATATTATAATTTATATTATACAAATCTGTCGCCAATTCAACATTATATTTAATCATTAAATCTCATAATTCTACTTCTAATTTTGTCTCCCCATTGTCAAAATTCATTACATAATTTTACCGTTGGCCATTTTTTTTTTTAATTTCCAAATAAACTAAAATCTCTCATAATTTGATTTAAAAAATTAATACGCGTGATCGATAATTGAATAAAATTTCTCGAGCGGATTAATTTTAATTATTTTATATTATATATACATGTTTTATACTTATTAAAAAAATAAAGTTAAAAAGAAAATCGTATTTATTATTATCTCTGTATTAGTGTTCACATCTTTATAAGGGAGGCCCTTCTAGATGATGTGAGACCTCACAATCCACTTTCTTGGGGGCCTAGCATTCTCGTTGACAAATGGACCCTTATAAGGGATAGTTCGTTCCCCTCTCCAACTGAAGTGAGATCTCATAATTCACCTCCTAAAGGGTAGCATTGCTAATACACTACTTAATATCTAGCTCTGATACCATTTGTAACAACTTAAGCTCGTCGCTAGTAAATATTGTCCATTTTATAAAAGGTTAAATTTGGTTGGGAAAATGATTTGTTTGTTTGTTGTTTACTTACTCAAAGGACAAGGCAAGCTTCCTTGGGACAATGATTTATTGAATGTCGTGAATAATAAAATATTGATTCCATAAATTTCACAATTCCACGCATTATTATAAAAAATAATTAAAATCACAATTATTTTATATTTATTTATGTTATATATATATATAATTGCGGTTATAATAAGCATAATTTTGATAATATTTTTACGTGTAAATTTTATTATAGGCTAATTAAGGGGAGGATGTTCGAGGGCTTCATAGGTTTCAGGGAAGACTCTATAGTGTTACTTTGTTAAAGGTGAGGATTGTTGAGATTGTTGGGAGGGAGTCTACTTTGGCTAATTAGGGAATGATTATATACTTATAAGTAAGGAATACGTCTTCATTCGTATGAGGCCTTTTGGGGAAACCCAAAACAAAGCCACTGGAACTAATGCTCGCTAATGCTCAAAGTGGACAATATCATATCATTGTAGAGAGTCGTGATTCCTAATAGGTTTGTGTCAGTCTTTCGTTTGTATCATCTTCTATACCTTACTTGGTTTAGAAGTTGTGTCCGAGTGGATGCACGACCATGGGGCTATCTTTAACTAAGTAGATGGATGCATTAGAATAATGAGGATTTTCTAAATCTCGCTTGATTAATCTGTTGTCATCATTGAAGTCTGCATTACAAAGTTGGTGGGCTTGGGTTGTTACGAATGGTATCAGAGCTAGACTCGAGGTGGTGTGCTAGCGAGGACGCTGGGCCTCAAAGGGGGTGGATTGTGAGATCCCACGTTAGTTGGAGAGAAGAACAAAACATTCCTTATAAGGGTGTGGAAACCTCTCCATAGCATACGCGTTTTAAAACCGTGAGGCTAACAGTACTCGGTCTAGCTAACTAACTAAAGACGAGGTATTCTCCCTTTTACCCTTTCTCTAATACACTGCTGAACAGTATGATTACCTTTCGGTGCAACATGAAAAACAATATTTTTCCTCTCTTGTCTAGTTTGTAACCGCCTAAACCAACCGCTAGCATATATTGTCCACTTCAACCTGGTACGAACCGCCGTTAGCTTCACAGTTTTAAAACGCATATACTAGAAAGAGGTTTCCACACCCTTTCTTGTAAGGAATGCTTCGTTCCCTCTCAACCGATGTGGGATTTGACAATCCACCCCCCTTGGGGGCCTACGTCCTCGTTGGCACACCGCTCGGTATCTGGCTCTGATACTATTTGTAACAACCCAAACTCACCATTAGTAGATATTGTCCACTTTAGCTCGTTATATACCGGCCTCACGGTTTTAAAATGTGTCTACTAGAGAGAAGTTTCCGCACCCTTCCTTGTAAGGAATGCTCCGTTCTCTGACAATCCACCCCCTTTGAGGGCCAGCATCCTCGTTGGCACACCGTCCAGTGTCTGCCTCTAATACCATTTGTAACAGCACAAACCCACCGCTAATAGATATTGTCCATTTTAGCTCATTACATACTGGCGTCAGCCTCACTTTCCACACTCTCTCCTTTATATTGATGTGGTTTTATTAGCTTTCATATTTGTTGAAATTCACTGCTAAAATATGCAGAAGGAAGACCAGACAGGACAGGTTTGTGGTTATCCAATGAGCTAGCTAAACTTGATGTCCCTGTAAAGCTCCTAATTGACTCAGCATTAGCATACACAATGGATGAGGTTGATATGGTTCTTGTTGGGGCCGATGGAGAAGTTGAAAGTGGAGGTATAATAATCAACATGATGGGCACATATCAAATTGCATTAGTAGCACTAGCATGAACAAATGTGCGTGTGGCTGCGAATAATGTAAAAATCTCATATTAGTTGAACAGGAGAACGAAACACCATTTATAAGGATGTGGAAACCTTTCCCTAGTAGACGCGGTTTAAAGCTTTGAGGGGAAGCCCGAAAAGAAAAGTTCAAAGAAGACAATATTTACTAGCGGTAGGCTTGAACCATTATAAATGGTATTAGAGGCCGACACTGGACGGTGTGAATTGAACAATAATGCCTGCTTATACATGAGAATTGGACATATATGGTTTCCAAAATAGAACCAACAGTGCATGTTATGTTATGCTGTAATGTAGTTATAGTCCAGCTTCTCGATATCCATTCATAAGAGTTCTCTATCTCCACTATATTGCCACCTATACATATGTAACAGCTCAAACTCACCGCTAACAGATATTGTCTTCTTTGGACTTTCCTTCGAGATTTTTAAAACGCATATGCTAGAGAGAGGTTTTCACACGCTTATAAAGAATGTTTCGTTCTCATTCCCAACCGATGTGGAATCTCACAACATACATATGACATTATATATGTCAAGTGTCTCACTCATCAACTTGAGTATAGCTCAACTAGTATATCCTCGACCCAATGGGTCATAAATTAGAATTCTCTTATCTACACATGTACACATTTCCTAGTTTACATAGTCTTACACATGTGACTTGATTTGTGCGAATTGTGTGATCTAGTGATTTGCTTTCATTGACAAACTTGATAAGATTCAGATTCCCTTCGGCTCAAGTCCACTACTAGCAAATATTGTCTTTTTTGGGCTTTCTCTTTCGAGTTTTCCCTCAAGGTTTTTAAAACGCGTCGGTTAGGGAGAGATTTCCACACGCATATAAAGAATGTTTCGTCCTCTTTCCCAACCGATGTAAAATCTCACAACATACATATGACATTATATATGTGTCTCACTCGCCAACTTGAATATAGCTCCACTAGTATATCCTCGACCCAATGGGTCATAAATTTAAATTCTCTTATCTACCCATGTACGCATTTCCTAGTTTACATAGTCCTACTCATCTGATTCGATCTGTGGAATTCTGTGATCAGGGAATTTGCTTTCATTGACAAACTTGATGAGATTCGATTCCCTTCGGCCCAAGCCCTGAAACGGCTCAATCCCATCGCTAGCAAATATTGTCTTCTTTAATTTTTAAAACGCATCTGCTAGGGAGAGGTTTCCACACCCTTATCAAGAATGTTTCATTCTCGTTCCCAACCAACGTAGAACCTCACAACATATAAATGACATTATATATGTTAAGTGTCAACTTGAGTATAACTCAACTGATATATTATTGACCCAATTGGTCATAAATTTGAATTCTCTTATCTATAGTTTACATAGTCCTATTCATCTGACTTGATTTGTGCGAATTCTGTGATTTGACGATCTGCTTTCATTGACAAACTTGATTAGATTCGGATTCCCTCGTGTCATCTGTCAAAATCATTCCAATTAAGCTAACAAAAGTGACAGATTAGATAGAAAGATAGAGAGAGAGAGAAAAAAAGTATGTGGTACAATAGTTTTAGCATGGATAAGATAGATAAAGGTGGAGATTTATGAAGCTTTTTTGAGTAGCAGTTTTAGAACAGCTTCTTAGTTTTAGACAGCAGTTTCTCCCTCAATTCCACCACATCAATCTCTCCGAAGTGGTTCTCAGGAATCCAGTTCCCACTCTTTGGATCTTTCATCCAAAATATGTTCTTCTCTTCAACTGCCTTGATATCATCCGAACCGCTCATTTCCACACCTGCTATCACCTTCTTCGTCACCATCGGTGCAGTTGCTCGTGCTTTAAGTTGCTTGTATGCAACCGATGAGCTCAGTCGCCTAATATTGCATTGCTAAATTAGACAAGAACATGAAGAAAAATGTAACACTCAAGGCTTTAAAACGCGTCGGTTAGGAAAGGTTTTCACACCCTTATAAAGAGTGTTTCGTTCTCCTCCCCAGTAAGATATCACAATCTACCCCCTTCTAAGGGTGTTTCGTTCTCCTCCTTACTGGGATATCACAATCTACCCCCCTTCAGGGCCCAGTATCCTCGCTGTCACTCGTTCCATTCTTCAATTGATGTGGGACTTCCACCAAATTCACCCCTTCGGGACCCATCCTTACTGGCACACCGCCTCGTGTCTGCCCCCTTCGGGGAACAGCCTCCTCGTTGGCACATTGCCAGTGGCTCTGATACTATTTGTAACCGTCTAGGACCACCACTAGCAAACATTGTCCTCCTCGTTGGCACATTGTCAGTGGCTCTGATACCATTTGTAACCGTATAGGCCCACCACTAGCAAACATTGTCTTCTTTGGGTTTCCCTTTTGAGCTTCCCCTCAAGACCTTAAAATGGCAGGGAAAGGTTTTCACACCCAAACCCTTATAAAGGGTATTTCGTTCTCCTCCCCATTAGGATATCACAATTCACCCCCTTTCTAAGGGTGTTTCGTTCTCCTCACCAGTGGGATATCACAATCCACCGCCTTCAAGGCTCAGCGTCTCGCTAACACTCATTCCATTTTCCAATCAATATGAAACTCCCACCAAATCCACTCCCTTCAGGGCCCAGTGTCCTTACTGGCACACCACCCAATGTCTGGCTCTGATACAGTCCAGACCTACTACTAACAGATATTGTCTTCCTTAAGCTCTCCCTTTTAGGCTTCCCCTCAATACTTTAAAACGTGTTTACTAGAGAAAAGTTTTCACACCCTATAAGGGGTTTGTTCTCCTCCCCAACCTGTGATATTACAAAAAAAAAAAAAAAAAAAAAAAA